CCAGTAGAATTGTTCTTTTTTCTTCCTTTGTGGTTTATGCCTTTTAAGAAATTCAATAGGAATGAGTTTTTTGTTTTGTTTTTCAGGAATGAGTTTCATTCATTTGTATTTAGCCATCTGAAATTATGTCTGCTATAAGATGTTACTTTATATAATTCACTGAGTAAATGCCTTTCAGTGGATACTCAGCGACCAACATAGTAAAGTCACTTTAATACAGTTTCTTGTCAATGGCCTAATAAAACAGGACTTAATTTTTAAAATTTCACTCCATTAAAATTTTTGTCCCTTGGTATTATTTTTTGCTGTCAGATATCCAAAGCAAAGAAAACAAAGGCCATATCTAGAAAAAACTTTCTTAAAGCCATATAAAAGTTTCAAAACTTCTGGGTCCCAAATCCATATTTGAACTCTGGACCACTAGCCTCAAGTGCAACATATTGAATCAGCCCTTACAGTAAACTTTGAAATTCTGAATACATCTAGTCAACCAATGAAATAATCTGAACATGACTAAATATTTCAACATCTTCAGTCATATAATATTAAAAAATAAGATGAATCCCAATAATATATGAATAGAAATAAAACACATTTATATTACTATTGTAGTATTCCATATCATAGTAAAGGTTTTTGTCACAGAGAAAAAGAAACATCCTCCAATCTAATAATTGGTCATTAATTTATTGACAGCTGCTTTCAGTTTATTCTGCACTGTATTAATCAGTTTGTTGAAAGCTAGCTCCGAGATTCTGAGTAATCAACTTATTTATTTATTTATTTATTTTGATTTGAATAAATCATTTCATTGGGGCTCTTACAGCTCTTATAACAACCCATACATCAGTTGTATCAAGCACATTCGTACATACGTTGCCATCATCATTTCCAAAACATTTTCTTCCTAGTTGAGCCCTTGGTATCAGCTCCTTTTTTCATCCTTTCCTCTCCCCCCCTTATTCTGAGTAATTTAAATGCAAGTTGCAAAATATTTAAAACCTTATTCTGGAATACAAGGGACATTTAATTTCCCATTTCTGTCCTTCTGCGCTCTCAGGTGCTCTTTCTAGCATGTCAGAGCCATGTGGAATGGTATAGGTCTCATAATCGAACTAAAAGGAAAAATCCCCCATAGCTATGCTCTGTTATTTTACATTCTGAGTCTTGGGCAATGTCATCTTGTATCTACTTTACAGTTCTGAGAGCAAGTATTGTCGAAAACTGAAAGAACTTTTCTCTGATAAAAAATGGGGATGAATGAACCCAAACCAAACTCGCTGCCAGTGAATGAATCCCAACTTCAAGCCACCTTGAAGGGAGACTGAGTGAAACTGCTTCCTAGGGTTTCCAAGGCTGTAAATCTTTATGGGAGCAAACAGCCTCATCTTTCCCCTTGTAAGTGTGAATTGCCAGCCTTGTTATCCCAATGCCTAACCCACAGCAATATCAGGAGTCCTCGAATGAAGAGCGATTAAAAATCCCAACTCACTGCTAGGAAGGGCAGGACTGCACTCGTGGGTTTCTACCACCATAACTCTTAGGAGAGTAGAGACCTGATAGGGAATCAGCCAGAGAGTAATTTGGACTACAGTGAACCCTCGTTTATCGCGGTTAATCGGTTCTAGACCCTACCGTGATAAATGAAATTCCGCGAAGTAGGATT